GTAAAGCCCAAGAGAGCAAGAAATGGAGCAAAGTTAGGAGTGGGGTACAAGAAGGAAGAACTGGCTTTCAACAAGTTTTGAAACTAAGGAAAGGAAAATAGAGGAGTAAAGAAAGAGGAGTCTAGAGGTGTAAAGGAGGCACTCAGAGAGGAGACACAGTCATCTGCTGAGAGGTGCATCGGGGTAGGGCGGGGTACTTGCCAGAGTGGACAGGTCGGAGAAGAGTCGTGGTGGGAAAAGGGGCTCATCAGGTGCATGAGGTGACCCAAGGGCCCAGCAGAAGTGTGCTGGGAGAGCGGCTGAGGGATGCCTCTTGAGGGCATCTTGGCTGGACAGGGAAGGAGGAAGGGGGAGGGTCTGACAGAAAAGGGAGGACTGAGTCCTGGGGGTCTCCTGTGGGGGTGAAGCATTTATACTTGCTGCCCTCCAGGAGGGAGCACTCTGGGAGTTACTCAGAGAATGAGGTGCCGGCATTTTATTTATTTCTTTATTTAGTCGGAGTCTCACTCCGTCTCCCAGACTGGAGTGCAGTGGCATGCTCACAGGCCCTGCAGCCTCAACCTGCAGGGCGCAGGCAGTCCTTCCACCTCAGTCTTCCAAGTAGCTGGAACTACAGGCTTGCGCCACCATATCCAGCTAATTTTTTGATTTATTGTGGAGACGTGGTCTTGCCATGTTGTCCAGGCTGGTCTTGAAACTGCGGGCTCTGGCAATCCTCTCGCGTCAGTCTCCCAAAGTGTTGGGATTACAGGTGTGAGCCATGGTGCCTGACCTTGATGCCAGTACTTTAAATTTCAGAAAGGATAAAGTTCCAGATGCAGGTAATCCCCAGAATGGGATCCTGGGAAGAAAGTAGCTGAAATGGAGCTGTGGGGAGAAGGTCAAGTTCTAAAAAACAAACAGAAATGTTGGTTGCTGAAGGGAAGGGAAATGGAGTGAGGGCTGGGGGGAGGTCTCTACTATACTTATTTTGTTGCTTTTGAATTTTGAACCATATGAATGACTATGAAAAAACAAAACGAACAAAAAGCATTTTTTTTAACTTGGGGTGTGGATTGTCATTTGCAGGGACCCTGCCTGGAGAGGATGACCTGAGCCAGCTATCACAGGCCTGAAAGTCAGTTGCTCAGGCAACAAGGCAGGCAAAGCAGCAAAGCAGACTCAGCGAGGCTTCCAGGACAGAGTGCTTGGCAAGAAGTGGAAGAGTCCTGTCCTGTCTACGACTAACACAGTGCTGGGAGAATCTGCCTCAGTTTCCCCAGACCTGGAGTGGGCAGAGTCAGGGAGAGTGTGTGGAGGACACGGAGGAGGGGTAGGTAGTGGGCTACAGGGAGAACTAAATTCCCTCTAAGACAGCAAGGAGGCATAGGGAAGAGTTTGTCAGAAGGCTGGGCCTCTGGAGGGCTCTGAAGCTGAGGAGAATGAGTTCTGAGGAAGGAGGAGCCAGCACTCAGGAGCAGTCAGGGGAGTGGGGTACATTGCAGGAGACCGATGGGAGTTCAGGAACAGTGGTTTGGCAAGTGCAGAGAAATAGTATAGGCAGGCCCCTGTTTTCATAGGGTTTCTTTATTCAAGCCAGCATTGCCAAAACTTGCTGCAGTTTTCTCCAGGGTTTCTGCACCAAGGGCAGAGCTGAGTGTGGTTCAAAAGAAAAAGAGGGAGAAGCTGGAAATTTTGTCATACAAGATAGTTTATCAGCCTCTGAATTTAAAAGTCCAGGCTGACTTTCCTCCTCCTTTCCTAAGTGTTGGTCAGGAAATATAGTTACTCCAGTCTGTGCTAAGCACAATTGTAAAAGTAAATCCACAGTCTAAAATATTTTGAAGGTCTCAGAGGAACGCCTGGCCTTTTCTAATGTTTTTAATTATCAAAACCACTCCTTACCTCCATGAATAATCCAAAAGTGGTACTCTAAGGCAAGAGCTAGCTAGTGCCCTTGACCGTGCACACACACACACACACACACACACACACACACACACACACACACACACCTTTTCAGAGTAAGCTATTATGGACGCACAGAGTCAGAAGACTTCAGAGAACAATCCCTCCATTTTATTGAGAATACCAAAACCTTTGGGTCCTTGACAACTTCACACTGGACTTCACAACCCAGACCTTCTGTTTCCTAGTTGCCTTGCATCCCTCATTAGATTTTATTTATTTATTTATTTATTTGAGTTGGAGTCTCACTCTGTCGCCTTCCAAGTAGCTGGAACTACAGATGCACACCACCACGCGTGGCTAATTTTGTGACTGGTTGTAGAGATGAAGTCTCACCAAGTTGCCCAGGCTGGTCTCAAGCCCCTTGGTTCAGGCAATCCTCTCGCCTCAGCCTCCCAAAGTGCTAGGATTACAGGTTGAGCCACCACGCCCAGTCTCATTAGATTTTATTCCAAAAGTCCACTAAAAATTCGAATTGAATTCATCTGTTCTGGATGCTATGCCAAAACGTTTGGTACTGCAAGCTAAGGACAGGAGGGATTGATTGATTGATTGAGTTGGAGTCTCACTCTATCACTCAGGCTGGAGTGTAGTGGCACACTCACGGTCACCGTAGCCTCAACCTGCTGGGCTCAGGCGATCTTTCTGCTTCAGCTTTCCAAGTAACTGGAACTACGGGTATGCACCACAATGCCCAGCTAATTTTTTGATTTATTGTAGAGAAGAGGTCTCGCCAAGTTGCCCAGGCTGGTCTCGAACCGTGAGCTCAGACAATCCTCTCATCTCAGCCTCCCAAAGTGCTGGATTATAGGCGTGAGCCTCCGTGCCCAGCCACTCTTTGTAGTATACTGGTAGAAGTTGGAGAACAGGGGACACGGATGTAGATTATTCTAATTAACTTAGATGGGGTATGTGGGAAAGTGTGTGTACTTCTGCTATGTAAAGCTATAACTGGGTGTGCTGTACACTTGAAAGATTCATTAGTTCCCAACTCCCACTGCCACCAAGGACCACCTGTCTTAAGATAGAGGCTGAGATTAGACCCTCCCTCCCATCCACATTCCCAGAAAAGAGAATAGCAAGAGAAGAAAATAAAACTTCAAAAACTTGAATTCTTAACTTGACAGCTTTTTGTATTTCTGCTCTCACTGGAATGTGAACTATTCTTTTAAGAAGTTTGGCACTGAGGAAGAGATGAGATAGGGAAATAGGTTTTTAAAAGTTATTTTTGAAAATTTCAGTCTGTTTCCCCATAAGGCATAGAGGGAAAAGCTATTGTTTATTCAGCGCCTACTGTAAGCCAAGCTCACATCGGTCCTATGAGTAATCAGGGCCTTCAATTCAAAGATAAAGATGCTGTGATTCAGAAAAGAAGCTTGCCCGAGGGCCCTCCTTTATAGGGCTTTGAGCCTAGATGTGTCTGACACAAAAGCTTATGTTCTTCCTCTAATCCACATGGCCTGACTGACTACAAAGGAGACTTCTACAGAGAGGGCATTTTAGAATAGAGGGAACTGGGTGGGTGCATAAAAGAGAATTTAAAAGGGAAAGGCAAAGAATCAAGGCACCACCTAACACCGCCCCCACCCTCCTGCCAAACAACAGCTCGGGAGTTTGAATTCACAAGTTTGAGTTTGTGAACAAACTTTTTATGGGTGGATGCTGGCTGAGCCCAAGAGGAATTACTTCAACAGTCAGTCATTTATTGCATGACTTTTATTTTTGCAAAACATTACCCACAACATAATTTCTGCAACCAAGTTTACAATATCATGGGCGAACCAGATACTGAACACATTATATAGCAAGTAGTTTCATCAGAATTGAGATGTAAGGAAAATGCACTAGTTTCCTTAAGGACATAATAAGCAAATCCTACTGACAAATAACAGTGGCATCTTCACATGGATTTGGTTGGGTGGGAAAGTGAGAGTGTTAGGGGTGCAAGGAAGAGGAAGGGAAGGGACCAGATTTCAAGGTACTCCTAAGAGCTAGTGGTGAAGCTGTGGAGACTGCAACTTAGTTTGGGAAATACAGAGAAAGGCGCAGAGTTGGGGGGAGGCTTTCTTTAGGGCTGGAGCCCTGACTTTGTCAGGTGAGGAGTGGGGGATCAATGGGGTGATTAGAGTAGAATCGTACAAACATAAATACTCGCATAATTAGAAGAATTAGTCCTAGAGTCAATTACAAAGTAGAGGCGAGATGGGCAAGGTCATCGACAGCGTAAGTGGAGAGAGTTTGCCTTGGCAAGAAGTTGAGAACAATTCTGAGAAAGGAGGGGAGGACGAGGGTGATTTTAAAGGATGGACCTGGAGTGGAGGAAAGTTGAGGGCACTGCATCGTCTGGCTTTCGTAGAAAGTGAAAACACACTTTAGGCCAGGAGGGTTGGGGTGGTTACCAGCTCCAGAAGAGTTGGAAAAGTCTGAAAGTGTGGCTGGAGGCACCGTGGACATAATCAGCGGGGGATGCAAGCGTGGTCAACAGCTACGGACGGCTCTAATAGCCACGGGGCGGTCTGGGACCCCGGGAAAGACCGCGGTTGCACCCGGGGCCCGGCTTCGCACAGCTGGGCGGAGAGGCACCACCCCTGGGAGCAGGTGGCAGCGCGGCACGCAGAGGGCCAGGGTGGGCGGCAGGGTGCGCGCGCTGGAGGATGCCGAGCGGGCGGGGCGCGCAGGGGCGCGGAGCGGGTAGCGCCACGGGCAGCCGGGATTGGGGGACGGGCCCGAAAGAGCGAGCCTCCGCGCGGCACTTGGCACGCAAGCGCAGACTGGCCGCGGGGCCCAGAGGCACAGAGGAGGGGGAGCGAGAAAGAGGGGGGTGTGGAACGTATTTCCGCTCTGGCGGACAAATAATCCCGGCCAAAGGGGAGGCAAGGCCGTCCGGCCCTTTAACCGCGTGGGGGTGCTAGTGAAGAAAGGGGGG